TTTTTGATCATTTCACTCTACTAATTAACAACTCTATATGTTGTTCTCTTCGAAATAACCTACCACTTTTGTTGTTATTTCTTAAATATTATTATAGTACTTTTGTTGTTATCTCTTAAATAATCATAGCACTTTTGATCTTTTTTATGATATAATCACAGCACCCTTGTTGTTCTCTTCAGAACAACCTACCACGTTTCTTGTTATTTCTTAAATATTATCATAGCACTTTTGTTGTTATCTCGTTAATATTATTATAGCTCTTTTGTTGTGCTGCACTAAACAATCATATGAATTTTGTTGTTATCTCTTAAATAATCCTTGCATTTTTCTTGCTCTTTTAATCATAGCACTAGTGATTTTCTCTTTTAAATAATTATTGCACTTTTGACAGACATAGCAGTGTGAGTTCTTTCTCCGTATCTAGTGATTGTACTTTTCGTGATCCCTTACTAAATGATAATTGATTTTGTAAAACAAAAGTATCCTCATTTCACCATTGGCTAAAGCAGAAATTCTAGAGAGACCTTTTTCTATCTAAAACTGTCTCGTGGTATATGTTACGGCAGAAATATTAGTACAACGCTTGTATTAAGAGTAACGCATTAAACGAAGTAAGCCCTAGAACTGTAAGTTGCACTATGATCAACGTAATGAACCGCCTTATTAACAAACGCCGCCATTGTTTTATATTTCATAGAATTCTATTGATCATTAATTAACGCATATACCCCCTCACAAGTTGTAAGTGTAAAGTAATAATGTTTTAAATACAACGTTAACGAACATATGAATTAACGGCAATATAATTCCTGACATGTCATTTAAGCAATTTCATATTTTAAGACATTTATGCACTAAGCCTCCCCACGTGCATTGAATTCATCATAGTGACTGTTGTGGTAAATCTTTTACTGATATTAAAGAATATGTATTTTTGTCTTTACAGCTAAACCACGTATTTTCACGTCTTTTCACATCGTTTTATATACCCATATTGCTTAACGACATACTGTATAATCATCTAACGCATCAAACGAATTATTTGTGAACTGTGTGTGTGGAATGTGAGGTGTCGTAATAAAACGTAAAAATAGTAACTGAATTGTTTCTCCTTAATTCATGAAAGGAACGAACGTCCCGCCCACAGTGGGTGATGCCTTGCTGCATCAGTATACTTTGAATAAGGTATAATGAATGATTTATAAATCAATCGCACTGAAATTGAAATGTAACTGTGTTTATGACGTTTTTGTTCAACTTTCGTTGCGCTTGTCGACTATGAAGAGAACGGTTCTGCTTCATGGACACGATATTCAGAAATAAAGCTGGCTTAGACCACGGTTCTTAAGTCTTTTTTTAGGTATCTTCTCAGTTTCCAAGATAAAAACTTCAGTTGCTGGATAGCTCGGAACAGCCGAGTTTATATATTTCGAGAACGGCTGTGTATTTGACATGGGGCTTGAAATATTTTTTAAGAAAATTGTTATAAGACATCATAAACAAAAATACAATTTTTGTGATTAATTTCGTACGACCATGTAGTCTAACTTATTAAATTGTGACATACCTAGCTAGTTGCTATGTCTTCAGAACATTAACGAATGTAGAAATGGTATGAAACATTTTGGTTTTACTATACAATAGATCTGAGAAAAGGGTGTTTAGAAAAAATACAATTAAAATTTCATTCATTTTTCATCCTTTTTCAAAACTTGTATCTCGTTAATTTGAAATTTCTGTACTTATTAACAGGTAAGTAACAGTACAAAAACAATTTATTAACAACAATAACGGTAAATATTTGTACAATGAGGTATAAATTATTTAATAACACAGTCAGATAATTCTATTGAATTGGTTGGGAAAAATAACATCGGGGCTTAAATGGTCTACAAAAAATTTGTACTCTTAAGCCTTCGAGATTAAAATGCGGCAGAAACATTTAGGGTTAGCTAGAGTTAGGACTTTCATTTCTCACAGAACCATTTTGTATACTTAAAATGGAAAATCTGTGTAAAACAATGAGAAAGGGTTTAAATGTTCCACAGACAATTTGTACCCTTCTAGCAAATGCATTAAAATAGGGGAAAGTCAACTAGGGTTAGCTAGGATAAGACCTTTCAGTTTTCACAGACCCGATTTATATACTTAAAATGATAGAACAATCAGTTTTTGACATTAAAAAAAGAATTAAAAAAAAAATTGAAACTGGGACTCGAACCCGGGACCCCAAAGTTACCGAGAAAGTGCCAAAACCACTAGACCCAGGAAATAATATGGATTAAGATTGTATTCATACTGAAATAGTACGTCGTTGCGTCCCTTCTAAATACAATTCGCTTCGGATAATGGTCTTGAAACAGTTTGTACCCTTCAAGCCTTCTAGATTAAAATGGGGGTAATGGTAATTTGGTGTTAGTCCTTTCATTTTTCACAGACACATTTTATATACTTAAAATGATAGAAAAATCAGTATTTGACAAAAAAAAAGAATTAAAAAAAATTTCAAACTGTGACTCGAACCCGGGACCACCAAATTGCCGAGAAAGTGCCAAAACCGCTAGGCCACCGAAGCCCAAGCATAAAAATAGACTTAAAGTAACATATGAAATGAAATATCACTTTTTGAGCATCTTCTCAATAAAATTTGTTGTGCAAAATAAGACAGAAATATGACTTTTTTGAGCATCTTCTCAATACAAATTTTTTGGGAAAAAATATGACAAGGGTTTAACTGTTCCACAGACAATTTGTACCATTTTAGCGAATGTATTAAAATAGGGCAATGGCAATTACAGTTATCTAGGGTGAAACCTTTCATTTTTCACAGACCCGTTTTGTATACTTAGAATGATAGAAAAATCAGTATTTGACAAAAAAAAAAAGAATTTTCAAACTGAGACTCGAACCCGGGTCCCCAATGTTGCCGAAAAAGTGCCAAAACTACAAGGCCACCGAGGCCCAAGCAGAAAAATTGAAGGAAGCATGAAATGAAATATCACTTTTTTGAGCATCTTCTCAATACAAATTGGTTGGGAAAATAAGAAAGGGTTTAAATGTTCCAAAGACAATTTGTACTCTTCTAGCGAATGAATTAAAATGGGAGAAAGTCAACTAGGGTTGGCTAGGATTAGATCTTTCAGTTTTTACAGACTCGATTTGTATACTTAATATGTAATTGACATTAAAAACAGAATGCAAACCGGGACTCGCACTCAAAACCCCAATGCAACCGAGAAAGTGCCAATACCACTAGACCATTGAAGCCAATGGAATTCACTAGGATTAAGATTGTATATACTGATATAGTACTTTGTTACCTCTCTTCTAAATAAAAATTGCTTCGAAAAATGGTCTTCAAACAGTATGTACACCTCAAGCCTTCTAGATTAAAACGGGGCAAAAACATTCAGGGTTAGCTAATGTTAGGCCTTTCGTTTTTCACAGATTCATTTTGCTCAAAATGATAGAAAAATCAGTGTTTGACTAAAAAAATTAATAAATTTTCAAACTGAGATTCAAACCCGGGACCCTAAAGTTGCCGATAGTGTGCCAAAACCACTAGACCACAGCGATTCAAACAATTATCCAGGCATATGAAATGAAATATCACTTTTTTGAGCATTTAGCAATACAAAATGGTTGGGAAAAATAACACAGGGACTTAAATGGTCCACAAACAATTTGTACCCTTCTAGCCAATGTTTTAAAATGTGGAAAAGGCAATTAGAGTTAGAGTTGGGACTTAAATACTCATGTTTTCAACTTGCAATTGCGATTTTGAATTCCTTATTCACTGAATTTATTATCAAACTTTACGACAAAAATCTAATTGTATTTTGTATAGCTTTAAAAGATACAAACAAGCTTTGCATACTTCAAATTAAGTAATTGTATTCAAGTAAAAACATGTTGAATACACAAAGGTATATTAATACTACTTATAACTGAAACTTGAACTTTAGTCATAAATATAAGATATGAAATAATCAAGGGTAGTTCTAAAACTGTATTAAAAATAAATCGGGTTATAGATTTAGAATTCCCATATAAATGCACTGTGTTAAGATGGCAGTTTTGTTTGTATTCGAACAAAAAATCGAACTTTTTCAAGGAATATCGGCGTCTAAATCCTAGCTTAATATGAGATATCTGTATCACTATTCAGAATTAAAACCCGAGGAATAGTTTTTTCTGCACAAATACACTTACGAACACTTACAATGGAAACATAACAGCATAGGCAGTTTTGACAAGATATAACAAAAATATGTGCTCGTGAAAATAAATGTTCTCGACATGGCTGCGGTTTAGTTCGAAAGAAGTAACCATAACACTTCTTCATGAACGAGTTACATTGTCTTCAACACCCCTGAAACCTTATTGGTGATAGAATTTTGATATGATTGATATTGCTATTCTGTAATAATATATAGATGATTATACAAAAGCCTAATGTTTATATTCTCTTTAATCAAGAAAGGCACTTTGGTCGTCGGAAATTTGTTGGCAGTAAATAGGTAACAAGGCAAATCTTTTACATGGTAAATTGTTAGCAGTAAATTGAATTGAATAATTTTACCCAGATAACAATTCATTGTCATTTTATGTCAATTACTATGACCAATTAACACTACGTTATGACCATAAGGATACTGTTGTAGATTTATTGCTTGCCTTGCATACGAGTGAATATTTCTTCGCAAAACTTGTAAAAACAAGAAAATATGTAATACAAATAATGAAATACGATATACAGGATATTAATTTGTTGCGACCTGTATATTTCATGAAATTTAGACCATTCACAGTACTGAATGACGAATAATCCATAAATCAAATAAACAAAATAGCAATGTAAAAATAATACACCCCGTTGGTCTGCTCCTAGTAATTTTAGAGAAAAGAAAAAACAAGATATAAAAGCGTAAATTTCATAATTTGCGCTCATTCGAGTAACATACTTCAACATGGATAACATTGTAAGATTTGTACTTATGTTTAGTTTCCTACAATTTGGACAATCTGTAAAAAATGGAGAATTGACCGACAGATTCAAACGAGATGACAACGATGAGGGGCTGACAATGAAGAGTTATACGATAGCGTCGTCAGTAACTGAACGGTTCTCAACAATCAATATCCAGAGTCGCCTGCAAAACAACCATTCATATACTGTCAAGTCAAAGTTATTAGTTCATGTTCCAGAAGCGGCGTTCATTTCAAATTTCAGTATAGTCATAAATGGATCAGAATATGTGGGGAAAATCGTTGCAAATGAAGAAAGAGATGAAGCTATCCGTAACAGAACAGAAACCCAATTAAATGTTGAAGTCAAATTTTCAGAGACGAATACAGAACGGGGTATAAACATTTTTGAAATAGATATAACACTAGAAGCTGGAGGAGAGACGACACTTTCATTGACATATAATGAACTTTTAGAACGTCGACTAGGACTTTACACTCAAAAAATATTTGTGTATCCCGGTCAGGTAGTTGACACATTAGCCGTTAGTGCGATTGTGTTGGAAAGCCAAGGATTCGAGACGTTCTCATATTCTGTTCCACACTCAGAGAAATCTGTTTTGTTGTCATCGGTTTCAAATCCAACAGTAAACAGTGTTCTTTATCAACCAACAAAAAAAGAACAAACAACAGTGTCGTCAAAAGGAATAAATGGACAACTTGTAATTGAGTATGATTTGAAACACGAAAAAGACGCTGGTAATGTAATTGTAGAAGGTGGCTATTTTGTTCATTACTTTACACCAAGTGGACTTAAAACCATGGACAAGAACATTCTATTTGTTATAGATGATAGTGGATCAATGAGTGGTACGAAAATCAGGCAAGTTCGGGAATCGATGCTATCTATTTTAGATAATCTGAATCCAAACGATTATACCAATATCCTTAAATTTTCCACTTCTGTGCAGACCTGGTTACCTATGCCCGCCGTGGCAAGCTCTGAAAATATTGCAAAAGCGAAGACATTTGTTAATGACAATCTCGATGCCTCTGGAGGTACTAATATCAACGACGCCCTAATTGAAGCCATACAATCACTGAAATCAAGTTCTGTAAATGTGAAGCGAGCCCAGATTATATTTTTTCTGACAGATGGACAGCCATCTACTGGTATAACAGACACGGAACAGATACGAAAGAATGTTATGGAAGAAAACGAAGGCTTTGCAGCTATATATTGTCTTGGGTTTGGTTTTAATTTGGACTATAATTTCTTGAAGAACCTGGCCTACGAAAATAATGGATTTTCACGACCAATTTATGAAGATGAAGACGCTACTGAACAACTTGTGGATATTTATAATGAAATTAAAGATCCTTTTCTGTTAGATGTTAAAGTTAACTATGATAGTAAATATGTAGAATTAAATTCAACCACAAACAACAAGTTCTACCAGTATTTTAACGGAACCGAGATTGTTGTTGCGGGAAAATTAAAGAAGTCTGGTGTTCTTCCAGCTGATACGGTTTTAGTTCAAGGACTTTCTAAGGATGGAAACTTGGATTTGAAAATGACATCCAGATCTATTACCATTCGTCCTCTTGATGAAAATAGCAGCAACAAGAAGCTACAGGACATAAAAAAAATTAAACAACTAATTGGAAAATATTCTACGTACAATAATGCTGAATCTGAAAAAGCCAAACAAGATGCTATTAAATTAGCAATTGAGAACAATTTTATTACTAAATTTACATCATTTGTTCTTCAAGTCAAGTCTCCTACAGCCTCACGAAATAAAGTTATGTGTACTATAGGATTCGGAACTGCTTTCACCGCCATAATCAGTCTTATGAGTTTGTGGATGTTTTAGATGGGGTAAACATGCGGAGAGAGACCCAGCGATTTTCGGTGCGATATTATTATAATTATCCATACAGAGGTACATGTCTCTGGTCTGTTAATAACTATTAGAACACCATCGTCCTAGAAATTTCTAAAAAGTATCCATTGCTGTTTTGTTGCCACTTTATATTTGTATTTACCTATGTACTAACCCCTTGCAGTGTTATAATATTAATATTAATGTCTAAGAAAAAGTGAAGTAACCCAGATAATATAAACGACACAAAATATATCTAACGCTGTATTTAAATCAGATGACATCAATGTGGTCATTGTCAATTAATAATTGTTCGTAATATATGTTCTATATTAAATATTAAATCTTGAACACCATTCATTTGACTCTTTACATTCCAACTGGTACTGAATACAGACGAATATGTAACGATTTTGCCTCTATGTATTAAGCCGATATGAAAATGGCGCCCTCATTTGTCATTCCACCAATCTAAAATGAAGATTATCATAGTTAAATCTTGAATGACATTTATGGATTCCCACACCACATGAACTAAACATGTTTCGTATGCATGTTTACATAAAGTTAGATCACAAATGATCATTAATTTAATGGACTTCATCACTTTTTCTAGTGCATTCGTGAAAACCACCCATACCGCCATTTTGGTAGCTATGTTTACATAATGACGTCATAGCGAAAGTGGAAGTTCGATTTCTGTGCCGTTCTGTCTTCTTTTTATCTGTTTCTAATTCACAGAAAGTTAATCCCAAAAGTCCTATCCACAGACCCACACTAAATAATGTTATCTATTCTAATTTCAATAAAAGTTAAGATTGGGATTAACCATCGGATTTAACCATGTCCTTGTAAAAGCCATTAAATCCGATGAAATAAGAACAACAACACGAACGCGCAATCTTTACCGTGACGTCCGCACTGACGTTATAAATAAATGGCGCGTAATCCATGCTACGCTCTCATTCAGACGAAAATGAGTTTCTCCAAGCAGATCGACTTTTCTGACAAAATAAGTAAATAATCTCCAATATTGAAGTTGGAGAAATAATTTAATTGAGGAGAAAAATATAAGACTGTGAATAAATTAAGGTTTAATACAAGATCCTTCAAGAGGATTCCTTAAATAACACAGTTGGAGAATATTTCCACTATTGAAGTTAGAGAAAATCCCCACGATCAAAGTTGGAGAATATCTCCAAAATATCAAAGTTGGAGAATATTTCCACTATTGAAGTTAGAGAAAATCCCCACGATCAAAGTTGGAGAATATCTCCAAAATATCAAAGTTGGAGAATATCTTCAATATATCAAAGTTGGAGAATATCCCCAAGATCAAGTTGGAGAAATACCTTTGGTTGGAGAAAATCTCCAATCTAAAATTTGGAGAAAGATTAAAATTAGAGAAACCTTAAGCTTAAAGTTGGAGAAATTAACATTCTCCAAGATCAAATAAAGAGCCCATAATTAAATACCAACATTGGGTTGGAGAAATATTATAACTTTTTATGAAACAATAATAATATAAAATAAGTAACGTAAAGATACAAAACTCTTATATATCCTAAATTAAGATTAAGATAATGAAATTTAAGTATATATAATATAATAACAAATTAATATAATTAATTATTTAATTCCAGAAGTGTAAATTAGAATAAACTAAATATAGATATTTAGAGAAGCTGAGAAGATACCTGTTTGATTTGTTTTATTGTAGTGTTTACAAATAAAAGTATTGTTGTTTATTTGCGTGTTTTGATATCTCTCCAACTTCGTAGCATTTTAGGTTTGATGTTGGGCGGGTCCTTATATTTATAAATTGATAACAAAATTACCTTCATCCTGACAGATTTTTGGGATTTGTAACATTGGTGTCAGAAGTGGGATTTCCAACATTCTTACCTTGGCTACACTGGAGAGAATCATAACCACAAATACAAAGAAAATAAAATAATTCTAATTAAAATAGCATAAATATGGCTAGTTATGATCCTGACATATCTTTTAAAGAGCCTAGTCTGGTGATAATGAAGAACAAGATAACAATGAGAACATTAAATTCAATTCTGAAGATGAATTAATTTTGAATAAGATAACTGAGAAATTAAATATGTTTAAACATGATTTTTATATAAAATTAAATAATGAAATTACAGAGTTGCATAAAATGATAAATAAAACTTTAAATGCTTGGAACTCTTCTAATACCAATTCTTCTTCTAATTTAAGCCTCAGTGATAACGATAACATTTCAAATTCTGCAATAGATCAAAATGAAAATTACCATCATACCCAAATACATAGTAGACGTAAAAGAGTTACAATTAAACCTCAGCAATACAATGGAGAGGAAGATTTTGACGAATATATTACTCAATTTAATATCATTGCTGATCTAAATAATTGGACCAATAATGAAAAAGCATTACATTTGGCAAGCTCCTTGTCAGGAAATGCAAGAATAATTTTAATGGAGATGAGTCAGACTGACAGACAGACAAAATTTTGAGAATTTAGTTAAAACTTTAAATTTTAGATTTGGTTCGATTGAAAGGTCTGAAATGTTCAGAGCTAAATTGCAAAGTAAAGTTAAAGGGAAATCCGAGTAACTTTCGGAACTCGCAATGTCTATCACAAAACTTACCAGGCAATCGTATCCAACAGCCAATACTTCTTTAACAAACATATTAGCATTAGATCATTTTATTGATGCCATTCCTGATGCTGAAATGAAATTAAGAATAAGGGAATTAAGACCACAAAAAACAAATGATGCAGAAATTTTAACAGTGAGACTAGAAGCTCACTGGCTTGCAGATAGACAAAGAGGACGACATGTCCATGCCATAGAGTGAAATGAAACAAAAGTGGCAGTAAATGCTGCAGTTTCAGAATCCACTAAAAATGATCAAATTGATATTAAGAATTTAAATAGTTCCATAAATTCCCTAGAGAAGACAACAAGTAACTTAATACAGACCTTAAAAGGAGATTATCATTCTAGAAATGACCATTCCAAATCAAATTGGAACTGGAATACAAACAAAGCCGCAAATAGAAATAATAACGATCATAATAAAAGATATAACTATAATAATAATCAATCAAATCATTATGGCAATTTCAGAAGAAATTCTGAAAATAATCATAATAGAAGAATGGAATCTCAAGATGTTAATCATCATAATTTAGGTTCTGAAAGACATTTGCAATCCACTTCTCATAATTTTGTAAATACTCAAGAAAATACAGATAATTCGGGAAACATGTAATTGCTGATTTCGAGGGTCAGAATTCAGCAACCTTTATAGACAGACCCAAAATTATAGCAATTAGTAACATAGGTAATAATCGTGGGTTGTTCACAAATGGGAAAATTAATGAGACAAATGTTGAATTTGTATTAGACACTGGTGCTTCAGTATCTATAATAAGTATGCCATTGTTTAAAACTTTACAACAGGATAACAAATTCCAAATGGAACCCACTGATAACTTACATTTAGTAACTGCAACAGGTGAGAAACGTCCATTTGTTGGTAGTTGTACTGTTAAAATAACGTTTGGATCATTTAATTTTAAACACCAGTTCTTAATAGCTGAAATAACACAAAGAGTAATATTAGGGATGGACTTTTTAAGTAAAAATTCAATCAATTTATTGTTAGAAAATAAATGTATGAGCATTAAAGGAGGAAAACTACCAATCTATTCTTTCCAAGAGGGACAGAATAAAGAGTGTAGTAGAGTATCTATTGCTGAAGATACCATTATTCCTGCACTATCTGAGACCATTATATTAGGAAACGTAATAGATCCCATTCCAAATACAAATACAGTATATGTATGAACCAAGTGACAAATTCACAGAAAAGTATGAAGCATTGGTGGCTAAAACATTAGTTAATCCTAGTAAGGGGATAATTCCATTAAGAATTTTAAACGTTAATGATACTGATCTAAAGCTTTACAAGAATTCTGTGGTCGCCAACATTGAGACTGTACATGACGAGGAGTTAATAGAAGGTCATGTAGATGCTGTGCATGTTAACGAAGTGTACATGTAAGGATTCCCTTCCAGACCATTTAGAACTTTTATATAAGGAGGCATCCTCAGATTTGTCAGCACATGAACAAAATGAACTAAAAAATCTACTTCAATTTTCAAGATGTTTTTTCGAAAACTCCAGATGACTTGGGCATGACACATATAGTTCAAAATAAAATTGATACTCAAGGTGCAAGGCCAATAAAACAAGCTCCCAGACGAATTCCACTAGCTCTAGCAGTAGAAGCAGAAAAGGAAATATCTGAAATGGCAACAAAAGGTATTATCGAGCCTTCTGAAAGCCCTTGGCGCAGTCCTGTAGTCATACTGCGAAAAAAACCTAATAATGCCTTAAGAATATGCATTGATTATAGAAAGTTGAACTATTATACATTAAAAGATTCTCATTCATTACCTCAAA